TACTCAGTACTTATGAAAACATAAATATATATACTGTTATGGTTGATGCTGAATTTGGCTAATGCTAAAGTTTATGTAACATATAATAAAAAATTTTGATATCATATACAAAGTTTATTTATGTTAGGATTAGCATTTAAATTAGTATTAGAGGTTATATTAAGGTTAAAGATTAGTAAACTATATAATAAATTACAAAGAAAACCTTTTTTTGCTAATGTATTAAAGATGCTTCAATGCAAATTTTTGACATTTTAAAATTAATATTTGTTTTGAATTTTCTAATTATAACTTACTATTGGCTGATCATCATATGAACTTTAATATTAGCCAAAATCAGCATTAGCTATAATATATACTAACAAAAAACAATTTATTTAGAAAACAGAATTTATTCTAAATACTTCATCATAGCATAATACTTAAACTTATAAAACCTTGCTTTGGCTTAGCTAGTTAATACTAAAAGCAATTATAAAACAAAGATCTCAATAAGTTTATTTTTATTATAATGAATTACTGAATATTATAGTCATATTTAACACTATTATACATCATCTTAATATAAACCATACAGCAATAAGACATAATATATTCATCATAATACATGCATTAAGCATGTACCCAAAAGGTTTATCTAACATATTAACAATGTATACTATGTTATTACATAGTATGCTCAAAATCAAATAAATATTTAAAATACAATATGCATATAAATCAATTAAAAATTTAATGATAAACCTATTACTAGATATATTCACTCCTTCTATTCTAACCTAAAGGCTTTCAAAATTAAATTTCTTTTCAATAAACTACCTATTCAAAACAGTATTTTACAAATACAATCTCAAAAAACATACTAATTCCAATTGTCAGAGATGCAAGACCTATTTTAAAACTAATAAATACTAAATACAATGTTATGCTAATACTATTAATATTAAATCTATTATTAAAAACACAATTAAAAAAATTCTTATATTTAAAAAAAAAAATTTTCACCAAACATTAACTAAACATATTACAAAATTAGAAAATTCTTACTATATTACTAATATTATCTAATATTAGTGACAAACATGTAAATACAATCACTAAGAGCATTATTATCCTATATCAAAGCAAAATAATTAACAAGATAATAAACAAGAAAACAAACTCTATAGCTGCTAAAACAATACTACACAAAATTAGCAAAGCAATATATAAACAAATCTGAATTACCTAATGCCAAACAATATTTTAAAATTAAAACATGCCAAATTAACAATTTTTAAATTTTCTTAAGATTAGTAGACTAAATTAATCTATTAAAACTACTCTAAATAAAACTAAGCCATAAGTTGAAAAAAATTAACATCTAAACAGAAAACTTCAAGAACTATAATGCATCACCTATCTCTATAGCAATAATTCAAAACTAAGCAAAGCTTTTAATCCTCTTAGCAAAGTTTGGATCAAAAATAAATTAGTTCTAGTTTTAGTTTTTTATAAATAGAATATATATATATATGTTTTTTAATGTTAAGATAAGTAATTATGACTCAGAAGTTTATTGATAATATGTTAGCATATAACTATTGTATATAACAGTTACAAAGGCAATTATAAAAAGAGTGTACAACTAGCTGCTTGTATAACTTTAGTTATTGTCTATTTTAAATAGTCTATCTGAAAATTTTATACTAGTTGCTATATCTAAAACCTATTTGTGGATTCTTTATTTAAATAATTTAGTTTTTGTATCTATCTTTACTTTATTAACTGCAGTATTAATTTGTAAATATACTATAGTTATTAAGTTATGTTTAACTTTATACTAAGCCTATCAGAACCTTCAGTATCTTATATTTACAACTAATCTAGTACTGCTTTGGTCTAGACTATTATTTGCAATTAGAGCTAATTATTAAACTGCTATATTCTTGTAAAATTTACTAGGATCCCAATACCTTTTTTATCTGCCATCTGTCTTATATTTTAAATCTATAAGACTTCTTAAATTACCAATTCAGATGTTCTGGTATGGTATCTAAAGATCTTTTTTCTCTGGCAGTTCTGGCAGCCTGGTTGGTGCATATGCTTTTCTTACATACTTTGTTATTCATTTCATCCTAATTATTCTTTTTTGAGCTTTCTGTTAATCTGGTAGTATTGTTGAAAGTTCATGCTATCTCTTTATTCAGAATTTCTAAATAGGTTTTTATGCTTCAGTTTTTTAGTGTTATGTACCTGGTAATTTTATTGTAGGTTTGCACCAAAGTTTTATTTTTTTTTATTTTTTTATTTTTTTTTTTAACCTTTGGCAGCCATGATGATCAAACAGTTAGAAGTTTATTTATAAATGTTTAGTACAGATAATATACAAATAGAACTATATCTAACTTTATATGTTATCATTATGCAGTTATTCCAATTGGCACTTATGAGTGACCTGTCACACCAGACCTGCTAAAATCAGGATCAAGCTTATCTGTTGGCCACCCTACAATTGAACAGCACCAATCTGATACCATTCTTTCATAGTGAAGTAAAAAATCAAAAAAAATTTTCTTGTTAAAAGGGAATGCACTAAAAAAAAATATATAAAGAAGAAATATAAAAAAAAAAACAAATATCAAAAAATGAAAGAAAAGGAAATTACTAATGAAGGCCAAACAAACAGTCACTAATTATAAAGACTATATTAGTCTATTAAAAATTATATGTTACTAAATACAGTAATCTCTACTTTAAATCTATTTAATTAACATATTTAATACTAAAACTTATATTCTAAGAAAAACAATTCAACTAAAACTGAACTGGCAAAGAAATTTCTATATGTTAGACATTTCAACTTCTTGTTACTAGATCCATCTTCATGTATGACTCATCAGACTTTTCACCAGATCTTACATTTTGACACTTGTCATATTTTCAACTAATCATTCAATCTTTTGCCAAAAATCTCCAATCTCGTCTCATTGTTATATTTTTTCAAGACATATATACTCATGCTTTATCTGCAATATAGGCCTTTTCTGAATAGAACTAATAAACAATCCTGATTTTGAAGGATCAAAAATGCTGATTTTGATGAAAATAAGCTGGATTGTCAACTTTTCGATAAAAATTTCTTGGAAAAAAGTAGAAAAAAAATTTTTAGAGCATCAACTGTAATAAATATAAGAGTTTATATTATATAGAATAATATATCAAACTAGGCTTTTATTTTTACTATTGCTTAGATATAGCTTGACAAAAACTTCCTTGATTGTAGCCAAAATTACTTTTTCAATAACTTCATAGACTTCTACTAAAGAGCCAAACCCACAAGGAACTGTTTTTTTCAACTTTTTTTTATATGACTCACATGCAATCTGAAATTCTTGAACCTAGATGCTATACAGTGAAGTTTTATTATGTATAAATATACTAACTATATAATTTTTATAAGTCAGTATATATAAAAAATTAGTGCAGAGAATCATCAAGAAGAGTTGTGTATTTGATTCTCAAAGTCTTATACAATACTAGTTATTTAACTTTCTTTTATATATGTATAATGTTACACTTTGCATAGATATCCCAAGCTTCTATTTAAAATAATACTTCTAAGATTACAAATCTTTTCTTCTGTTTAATTGATCGATAAAACATAGTTATTATAATGCAGATATAATTATTCAAATTTCATCATTCATGAGATTTAAATATTAGACCTGCCACTTAGGATTAACAACATGTTGACTTTACTAGGTTATTACACCTCCAAATAAAATATATATTATATTATATCATATAATATACTTATATATAAAATCTAAAAAACAAGTACTAAAGTATTTAAATAAAAAATTTATAAGCAGGTTTCAAATATGGTAACTAGTATAAAACCTTTGAATAAACTATTTAAATTAGACAATAACTAAAGTTATACAAGTAATTAGTTGTATACTTTTCATATAATTAGCTTTTATAGTTGTAATGCAACTATTAACTAAATGTATTATTAATAAAATCCTAAATTATAAATGCTTATCTTAATATTTAAAAAAATTAAAAAATAATAAAAATATATTAAAAATAAAATGATTAATAGACTAACATATAAAAAGAAGAAAGTATAATAAATAAACAAAACTAAACTATAAAAAAGAAAAATAAAAAAATCAAGAATCATGATTAAGTTCAATTTTTAATTTTATAAAAAAAAAAAATAAAATTGTTTTTTTATAATCTTAATAGCTAACTTAATATAACCTCCTGATCAGATTAATTTTTTAACTAATGTAACAAATTACTCTAAACACTCATAGAAGCAACCAAAAGATGTCAAGCCAGAATTTAAACCAACTTTGTACAAAATATGTATACAAAAATCTTAATAATGGTAAATAACAAAACTGTCTAAGTTATAAAAAAAAAAGGTAATAATAATGAACATTTGAATAAATTTATAAAACGTCTGATGATATAACGATTGAGCCAATTAGAACATGTGAAAATTTGTTTTTTGAAACCTTAATCTGATCCAATAAGTACTATAAGCTACTATGTGTTACATAATAAATATCACCGCATAACGCATCACTTATTTGTATAAATAGTAGTCTAAAATTGATCTACAATTATTTGTCACATGATAGTTCATAGTCATAGTGCAGTGTACATTATTTGTAAGTGGGTAGCAAAAGTGTTTGATTAACATAAAATTGTATATAGAATTCATTTTAAGTTATTTGTTAAAAAATTGATTTAAATGCAAGAACAGACACCTGTCAAACTGTCAGTCGAACAGTTCAAAAAGGCCCAGCCGTCCAAATATACAATTGGTGAGATCACAGATACACTACTATAAATCGAAGTAATAAAACGCGTACATTTATACTTTACAAATAAAAATACAATTATGCCTGATGTACAAAGGAGTTATCATATTTACAAATTTGAAATATTTAGCATTGATTGGAAATGAATACACTTCATAATTATAAGTTAATATTAATGCGGATTTACTCGACTTTCACTAAATCAATTAAATTATCTTTCGGCTGTTTCATTGTATTTGGAAAAAATTCTAGAAGCTTCTCAAATAATTCTGTACGCGAATTAAAAGAACCGGGCGTTTTATCTATAATAATAGTAATATCATATAAGAACTCATTTATAAAATTGAATGGAATTTAAAAGACTATTACCTCCAATTTTGTGAAATAGGTACGAAGTCAAATCGCGGAATTCAGCGCTTTCAGCCTCTATCGAATGATTTACGACTTGACCAAGTTGAACTTGAAGGTATTTAAGTGCTTTAACTGTGTCACCCTCATAGCACATTTCTCGAAATCTGATCAAAATAATAGGTGAGTGGGACCATAAAGAATAAATTTGATACGGCTTTCAAATGAAGGAATATTTGTTACTTTTGTTTCCTTATCTGGAATTGAATACGCCGTAGTAAATCTTCCGACTCTGGTCTTTAATTGATAAAACATCAGAAAGCAATATGATAAAGTCAACAGTTTACATTATCTTATACCTGATTAAATGTAATTCCCAAAAATCATCCAATCTCTGTTGTTTAAGTACTTCTGTTTCAACAGCTCTCCCACCAAATATATATTGGACTTTGTGAATGTTGTCATACACCATCTGATGCGCGTATCTCGGCCGCGGCTCAGTTGTTTCATTGCTTTCCCAATATTGAGCACTACAGATTTCACTTTGATATATCTTAGTCCACTTGTCTAATCGCATATCATACACCCAAAAGGAGTTTTTGATAGCTTGAGATCTTTTGTCTTTCTTATCTTTCAAACCGCAAAGAACATACAATTCTTGCGTATCCACATCAAAAGTTGTACGTTGCGTGAAAACAGAATCATGATCCTCATGTGTTGCATAATCGGCAATTAACTCGTGAACTAAGCCAGTATTAATATCATAGATTAAAAAGTCACTGGTAATATTAAATTGGTAGAGGTCAAAACTATATTGTTATATTTTGTCATCTGTCAATATAGCATATTATACAAACTTCAAAAATGTGTTATCTCGATCTCCTCCTATTATGAATAGCAATTTCTCATTCTGATCCAATAACATTGAATGTCCAATGCGTGATTTAAGTGGAACATAGCCAGTATTTGACTCTTCGCTAGGTCTATAATAAACAATAAATAATTATAAAAAATAAATTTTGAAAATATAACGTGAAAGTAACAAGACATCTGACCTGATTAACTTCCATTCTTTAGATCTTACATTATAACTATACAAGCCACTATAAGTAAAAGGTTCCGTATCGGGATGTACTGTGCGTCCGCCAAACACATAAATAATTTGAGCCTCCGAGTCAATACACATTTGATGGTCATAAATTAACGAAGGACCACCAACAAGCTAAAGAACAAATTTAAAAAACCTTGTCTAATTAAAGAATAAAATATTAATTTACATTGTATTTTAAAAATGGTAATGTTAAATAATACCGCAGTGTTGTCGCATAGTTTGACCCATCGGTCATTTATTATATCATAACTATAAAAATCTGAATTAAAATTCGCATTAGCACGAGCGCCACGACCAATAAACCGGCCAAAAACATATATCTGTTTCATGGTATGATCGAAGCAAATCTTGTGATTCGATCTTGGACTAGGCCCTCCTTGTCTAAATTAATATTTAATTAAATACAATAATGATGTTGAAAGGAATAAAAATATAAGTGTAAACCTACTCTCTGGTATTATTGCTAATGAGATTCCATTTTTTTTTTTTTATATCATAACTCCAAAAATCAGCTAAATTATTATTACCATCCCAACCTCCTAATAAATAAATTTGACCAGCCTTGAAAGAGTTTTATTTTACTTTAACCATAAAAATATTGGTTAAATAAAAAACAATCTATATATAAGCACTCACCTCAACGTCAATACACATTTGATGCCCACCTCGTGTGCATGGAGAAACGCCATCTAAATTGAAATTCGAATGTAATATTACATAAAATGGAAGTTACTATAATCTACTATGCCTTTGATACCCACAAGCATCTGTAGCCTCAATTTTTTTCCAAAAATGATCATACGGGCAATTACGAATATACTCCTCAAAAAGCCCTTTTTTGGCAGCATTTACCATGGTATCTTCAGCCATTTGAAAATCACCATTTAAAACTATTTGCACATACAGTTCAGTAATAAATGGATCTTCAAGCAACATCTTAGTTTTTGACTGTAATGTATTAAAAGCATCCAAATAGTTTCGCTGGCGAAAATGCTTTAGGCAAAGACGTATCGCTTCATTTTCGCGGAACTGCGATGGAAATATGTAAATCGAAGGATTTAATTAATTGGATTTTTATGAAAATTAATTAATTACCTTAATATAGTCAAAATAAGCCTGTTGAACAATTTCTGGACTCTGAACTCCTTTCAGTTCAATATACCATATGCTAAAATTGAATTCCGAACCATAAGCAGCCAATGGAACTATTTTAATATATTGGCATGGCAGTAACTGTGTAAGATATGGATCATATGTCCAAAAACATGGTTAGCAAGAAATTTCACCAAACAAGTATAATTGCATTAATACTTGATATGTCCGACATACAACTTGATTTGTTCTATGCTTCAACCGAAAAATTTCTGGTCGAGAGTTATTTCGTAATCCTAAAAATATTAATAATTTTTAGTATATTTCATAATTGATTACATAAATGTACCTGAATTAAAATTTTCACTAGCTACCACTATGAAGTAATTCAATCATGTTGTTTGGCGTTAACCCTCCATAAACTTTGAATTGCTTCAAATTACATACGTGCTCTACAAAATATGTTGAAAAAAAACGCAAGTATATGAATATGTAAATCGAAAAAGCATTTATTCTAATTAAAATTACCTTTATGATATTTTCCAAATGTAATGCTATCTACAATAAAATGGTTTAGGAATTGACATAAAATAACTGCTAGTAGAATTTTAAATTAGAGTATATTTATTTTCATGCTTGGCGGCTTAAAAATAAATATTTCTCGGCTTAATAAAAAGGATACGAACAATAGCCATCGATTCAGGTTTAATAAGTACATATTGCATTTGATCGTTGCTTTTGCTTGACCAACGAGAAGACTGTTCAGAAGGCTTATCTTCCATAATGTTACGTGGGTGATAAGGTGCTGTGTATGAGGAACATGAATGGATCTCATATGACAGTTTCACTGAATGCTCAAGGTGACGTTTCTTAGTTGAAAGCATATTAGTACTTTTTCAAAATTAACAAAGAAAAAGAAACCGTCACGAGAAAAATTTCGTGTTTGATCTTCCGTGTTTACTAAAACCGAAGTTTCGACTAGAGTTAGGAATCGGAGCAACAGGTTGATTTGATTATCAAAAATTATTGATAACATCTCGCTTTCATTCTGATTGGCTAATTTTTGTAACAAGAAAATTTTTAAATGAACTCCGCTTGGTAAGTATATCTATCGTATGACTAGGCCTGCTTTTATTGGTTTGCGTCCAATCATGTGGATTCGTGTAACTTTACAAATGTCAAGAAAATCCCGGGCTGAAGATCGCTTAAGATCACTTCCGACCATATCCGGATCCAATAAAATCACAGGATCTCGTGTAACAAACCAAACGCGAAAAACATAAAAAAACGCAACTAACACAAAAATTTACTAACACAAAAATTTACTATGATAACTAACTTCTGACCTCTAAGTAAAAGTTTTCAGAATGAAATTTTGCTTATAAGATATGTTTGTTAATGTTGGATATATAGTGAATTTTTGACATATCTTTTTGGCCATCAGCTCGGGGGAACCCAAAATTCCGGGTCGGAATACTTCGGAATCATGATCGGCAGAGCCGGAATTAACTAATTTTGCCCAAGTTCACTAAAAGTTTTACTAATGAAACCATAGCTCACTCATTAAGTAAAGCTACCCAGCTGATAATTTTGGCCCAAAAATGGTTAAGTTGTATTACTAAATGCTAACTAAATGCCGGGCGAAATCCGATGGTTTCTGAGGATTCTCCTGTATGAGTTCTAGGGATGTTAATGAAGTGCTCCGGGGTGGTGTGGTGTGTACTCTTGCAGAGTATCCCTTGACACCACATTACACTGGAGTATTAAGTAGAATATAACCTGGTGTATTAAGTCAGAGTGTATTTCGAAGTATAACATAGAGTATAATTCAGAGTATAATCTGGAGTACTAATACAATTATGTATAAAAAAATATAAAGAAACAGCCCAAGAATAAAATTTATTATATTTGTAGTTAGATTTATTATGTAATGATGATTATATTGTCATTATTGAGCAATGGTTATGTGTCATGAATTTTAAGGTTTTAGATCTAGTAAGTAATAGCATAACGGATTTTATAGAGGTTAAGATTATTGAGGCCTTTTATTATATCATATAGGCGGAAATTTTTAGTAAAAAGTGATATTCATAAACAGCTTAGACCATACAAAGTTAATTACTTGGTTTTCATAACATGAAATTTTAAATCTAATCTGATCGGCTTTTTTTTTAAATGTTAATCTTAAAAAATTTTATAAATTTTTTTTGAAAGTTTTTAAACTTTGACCTGATTGGGTTATAAGAACCAATTCATATATTTTATGTGGCCTTAGCTCAAATGATCCAAAATTGGAATATTCTAGTTAATCAGTTCAGAGCACTACTTATAAAAACTCATAAGCAACTTATAAACAACTCATAAGCAATTTATATCAAATCATTATTTTTAATATCAGTAATTACATTATATTTTATATTTTATTGACTTAGATTTTATTTAATTTCATTGTTTCAATTTAAATAATCATGAAATTGAAAATTTTCATTGCATGTAGAAGTAAATTACATTGTGTAACAACTTAGTATATTACTAGTTCAGTCTGGGAATATACCAAATTTGGTCATTAATGATTATACCTTATTTAGTAAGGATTATCTATCAGACTATTCTAGACTTTCCTTTCAGATTATTCTATATGCTATATTAGTTGATCAATAAAATCAAGAAGTTAAATAATATTTTTATTAATCTAAGAAAATTTAAAATTATTTAGAAACTAAAAAATATAATATTATATCTTATTTATTCACATAATCTCAAAATAATATATAATGCTTATAATGATGATTTAGAATTTGCAACCATGATTAATACTGTAATAAAACATTAGATTCAGAATCTATAAGAGTTTATAAGTTTTACTATATATAGCTTCTGAAGTTATATATAAAAACTTCAGAACTTATATATTTATTTTTTTGTAATATCATATAAAAAAATTTTTTTTAGATCTGCTATATTTTCTATAAATTAAAAACTATGTTATACTAAACTTTTAAATAAGTGTTGAAATAAAAATCTGAAAACAACCAATAGGTTCAAAATTTTATAAATTATTTAAATTGAAAAAATAACTATAGAACTATTAACTAAATTTTTAAATCTGATAATAAAATAGTGATAAAGAATAAAGCATTTGATATTGATAATGATTATTATTTAATTTATAGCAGTAAATTTAGTTTAATTATTGAAATTACTTCAAATTAAATAAAACTTAAGTGACATTAATTTTTAAGATGTTGTAACTGATATAACTTTTAATACAGCATTATTATCATATTATTGTAATATAATTTATTTAAATTTAATTACAGAATTAAATAAATAAAAAAATAAAATAAATTTCAAAAAAAAAAAAAATTAACTCAAAAAAAAGGATACCAATACCTAAATAATTAATTACTCTTATTCTTTTAAATGTTAATTCTGCTTCAAAACTGCTATTTGTTATAAATACAAAATTTGCATGACCAAAAATAAAAACAAATTCAGTAATTCAGTAATTGTATTAACAGGTTAGTTTTTTAATCTAAAATATTTAAAAGTTACATTTTAAAAAAATAATAGTAATATAATTTATTTCCTTAGCATTACCTATTCTATAATTCATCCTTATTTTTATCACTTTCAATTTCATTTCTATAGCAATTATTAAGAATAAATTTTTTACCAAAATGTTTTATCTTAATAAATTTTTGATAGTATTTGAATATTTATGTTTACTCTTTTTGACTTTGCTTACATTATCTTATAAAATAAACTATAATTAACAACTGTGCCACTATTCAAGAACATAAATATAAGATAATACAGTAATAATATACTATAAGCTATTCTTTTAATTCTTTTAGTATAGCTTGTTCAGATATTCTGTATTTGAAAACATCTCATAATTAGTTTCATAATGATCGAACATAATTGAAATATCAACTTATTTTTAAGATATATTTTTAAGTTTAAAAAGAAGTTCAAAGTTAAAAATAAAAACTAAATATTTTTCCATTTTTGTCATTAAAAAAAAAATACTATAAGAAATTACAAGTTGAATGATATTAATTGACACACTCTTCAGAAATGTAGCAATACAAACCTGTAAACCTTTTATTATCTTTTTTGTTACAAAGTACTTGGAACATGATAGGTTAATAAGAAATGAATGTATCTTAACAAATAACTAACAAAAAAAAAGCTTTATAGATATTTGTCTAAGGTGTTATAATTATATAATTTGATTACAGTTCTATAATAAAAACAATACACTCACATAACACAAAATAATTATTTTAAATTTTTTAGTTTGCAAATATGCTAAAAGCCCAAGAAGTCATAAATATTATAATCAATAGAACTACATTAGAAATAACTTTAAATAATACAATACCTAGAACATACAAACCTCTAAATTAGAGGATGGCGATCCTAGTGTAGTGGTTGGGTTGTCATCCTCCAAGTGGCAGGTCTAAGGTTCAAATCCCACCT